GAAACAAAAAACATCACTACCACACACTGAACATACACAGAACACACACACTCTACTAAGCTGATAATTGAATCATCCTTGATAATGTCTAAAGGTATAGCCGAAAGCGCTCCGAAACACAAAACATTCGGACAGTTCTTACACACTCTTTGTCCAGAAAACAAAGCTCTTGTCAGAAGACAAGAAAAATTAAATAAAAAGCTCAACCGTAGTACCTTGTCTGTCGTTTTAATGAAACATGTATAAAGGAAGGATTGCTGCCTAAATATACAAATATACATATATATATATATATATATATATATATATATATATATATATATATATATGGTAATATTCGGAAGGGCGTGGACTCAAGTATACATACATATAATGTTCTTCCTGCTGCACAACACATGAAGACGTTTATTACATATTGTGAGACAATATTTGTTGCAGCAGTCCGTTGATATTAGATACTGATTGTGATCAGTACATTGTGTGAGGAACATTTGCAACATCGTGCTTTTTGCGCAAGTAACTAGCAGTTTGTATGAAGTATATAATCAACCATTAGCCAATTACTATTCGTACGCTGGTTCAATTCTTTTATTATATAACGCATATCCGTGGTTCTACTTCTTAATTATAAGAGTTTTTCTTTTCTAGCAGCCCACCGTTGTGACAAAAATGAAGATCTTACTTTGATTCCAGCGGTGAAGTCCCATTTCGGCTTTCAGGATAAATGATCAAAAAATGTATGAATGCGTATTCCTTTTTCAATAAAGAAAAACACCAGGTAATTTACTCTATTACTGAAAGAAATGTAATATAGTCTAAATTACTTACTATTCCATTCATGATGGAAACACATATTTTCAGTTTGTTGGGAAATAAATAAACTGTGTCTTATGGACTATTGAGATTATCGTTGTCCATAACTTCCTCTCTCAAGAACCTGATTTCTCACCCATGATTATCACTTTTGTGTTAATCTTACTTAATATAAAACGCAGATTGTGTGTGTGTGTCTGTTCGTTTATATATGGGATCGTATTTCCTACATTTTTCAACCGATTTCAACAAAGTTTCACAGGACTGCGTAAAATTACCCGGCGGTGGTTCTGACAGCGCCCAAAATTGAAAAACACAATTGTTTTTGTACGAAATTAATTTGAAAGTACAGGTAATGTATCGAACCCAGCCGGAAGTTACTGCCGGCTACTCAAACGTCTGAAAGCGTCACCGCGGAAAACAGAACGAATGCCGTTAACTTCCGGTGACTCAGCTTTTTTTTTTTTTTTCAGAGAACGATACACAAAAAGTAAACAAATGAAACCTAAATATACACAAGTCTTCCTAACTAAAAATAATAACCGGAAACTACTTTAAATACACATGGTGTCCAAATGAAATAGAAATGAATAGACATTTATTTTGCATCAAACACTGAAAAATATATATTAGGTTTGTAACTATGTAAGTTTATATATATATGACTGTATATATGTATGTGTGTATCTATCTATCTATCTATCTATCTATGTATATATATATATATATATATATATATATATATATATATATATATATGATTATTCCTTTTTTTATATGTGCCATACATATATATATTTTATAGATGTATTTAATAATTTATATATATCATGGATATGCTTACATTATAGTTAATTTTTATTACTTTTATTACTATTATTATTACTTTAAATATATCACACACACACACACACACACACACACACATATATATATATATATATATATATATATATATATATATATATATATATTACTATTAAATGATGATGGTGTTTAAATGAATAACAACAGAGATTGCATTACTGTGATTTTTATTACTGGTTGGGCAGTTAATATTTTATCCATAAAATTTTTCCCCTAACTTCCCTTACTGCAATATTCTCAAAAGAAAAATCTAAAGTAGGATCTATAATGTAATCGGTACTGAATTAGCTTCTTGACTTCAACTGCTTTCTCACAGACGTGATGTGGCTTTTCTACAAATATTTTCATGGCTACTGCACTGATGATCATTTTTTCCTGGTGCCCTGACTACATGAATTTAAGTGTACTACTAGATTGGCATCTAGGTCCCAACTTTTTACTGTTGAAAGAGTTAAACGTATCTCTAGGTTTAGTAAGTATTTTCTTTAAAATGACTCACCATCGATTAGGTGTTAAGAAATTGGCTGCAATAACAATACAATCTTGAAGTTAACTTGGACCTCCTTGATAGTTAACTTTTAATTCTTCGTATAAAGGTTCAATTGAGAAAATAGCTCTCTAATTTTTCTTTAATAATAAAGAATTTTACCAATCATATTTAATACTATTTATTAAAATTCATTATTTTTGATCGCATATTTTCACTGTACAATATAGTTTACGACTAATGTTAAAAACTGTTATATAGTAATAACTTATCGCTGCCGGCTCTTGACTTTGAATATAGATCGGCAGTGAGCAAACATAGGCGATCCCATTTTTGAATTCAGCAGACCATGTGAGCATAGAGGAAACGCATATATGTAGAAAGTAGCTAACGACTAACGATCTCAATTTCTAGTCTAAACTATTTCTCTACTCTATTCCCTATACTATTTCTCTATTTGGATCACTATACGAATTATTATTCGCGCGAGTATTATCGAGCAAGTACTATTAGTGCGAGGGTTATACGAAGGAATCTGACACCAGTATTGTTCAACGGCGTTACTATAGTTGTATCTGCGACTACAAAGTCTCTACTTCAACGAACATTACGAAAATGACAGCGAGTGTTCGTTGACATCACAAAAGAGTCAAACGAGTGGTCACCTTTGTCAGAAAAAAAATCAAATTAGTAATGTCACCTATATCTATAAAACAAGATGTCTTTGTGTGTATGTGTGTCTGTGTGTGTCTGTGTGTGTTTACAGTGCTGCATAGATTTTCTGCGACATTGGCTTCACACAAAAAATAGCGAAAAACTATGAAAATCGGGTTTTGCGTAATACTTAAAATAAAAACTTGAATACTTTCTTCATTTTTCATCCAATTTTCTTCAAATATGTCGCAGAAATTTGCCATCATGTAAGAAATAAGACAGTGTGATTTTACTCCTGCTTGCTTCGCTGCGTATAACGAAAAACCACGAAAAACTTTTCAGAAAGCCAGTTTTTCGGCTATAACCTCTCTGGTTTTCCATCCGATGCTTTTCAAATTTGCATTGTTAATTACATATGACTCACAAATTGTCTTGCGTGAATGTTTGCTTTAGATTATTTCAGTTACGTGGTCGAAATCTGCGCCAAACTAGGTCCAAAATCGGCTTTTGCCATTACCCAATAGTTTATATATGATTCCATCATAAATTGGTATTCGAATAACATTTGATGCAAGGACTGTTTCAGGAGGATTATTGAATCGTTAAAAGAGAAAATTGCTGAAGAAACTCATATTAACCACAGATTTACAGTAAATGTGAGAAGAAGGAGGAGGGGGTTCGGGTATTTGGAATTGTAGTTGAATCAATCTCTGACGCTTCATCCATTTTTTCGTTTGATTATTAGATTTGTGAACAATTCCATACTATTTGAAAGTCATCATGTCCATAGGAAATTTACTGAATATCTAAAACACTGAAACAATTTAACTCCAAGTAACGACCAAATTAGAAGTTTTTATTGATGGAATTCCTTTATTATGAACGATCAGACACTTGCGAAAGACGCACTGAAAAAAGAAAAGGTGAAGAATAGCTTACTATACCAACGGATGATGAATGTAAACAGTGACACAGGCAGACATTTCCAGGCAGGATACGGGTATACAGGGGGTTCGGTTATACATTTGCAGCCATATACAACCGGACAACGCCGGCTAGTTTAATAATATAAATATTATTACATGACATTGCTAAATTCTTTATTAAATGAAATCTCTAAATTAGGAAAACACTTAAAACTTATTTGGAATGAACATTAATATAGCAAACTAAAAATACGTGGATGGATTATTAATATGAAGCCAATATGAATGTACCTCAAAGGGATGCCTATCCTGTCATGCTATAGACATAGTATGACTTATAACTGTTTGTTTCCTAAGCTCAAAATATATGTCTCTTTAACTGTCTTTTTGAATTTGTTACAGTCTGATAAATCCCTTCGTTTTCGACTTTACCGCCAAGATTGACCTTGTCAAGAGATTAGATCTTCCGACGGCATCGCTATCAGAATCAATGGAACACGCAAGCCACTAAACTACAGGTAGCCAGACTAGGCGTGACATCAATGGTGGAACAAGCGGATAATGATTACAACAGTTGAAAAGGTCCACGCATCACGGATGTACTACAGAAGGCGCTACTCGAAATTATAACAGCAGGAGTCCGTTTCAATTACATAAATGGATTCTGAATATCTAATTCCATATGTGACACAGAAGAAGGTAATCAAAGTATGCTGGTCACTTCCTGGTCCACCTAAAACAAATTCACGCCATCAGCACTTTTCTCTATTCTTTTTTTTCTTTCAACTCCAACCAATTCTTGCTAAGCCAAATGATTATAGGGAATGGATGACAAGAACAATTTTAGTGAAACTGGAAGCTTCTAGTCCTAAACCTGCACATTGGCTGCGAATTTATAAACGCCAATATCATAATGGAAGCGATCAGCAAAGAAGAAATTAAGTAATAAAGCCGACGAGAAGACGAGATAAATCCATTTTTCTTTTAACGCGACTTACACTGCCATTAACGTCTGAGAATAAATGTAACAGATGAAGGTTTCTTCTCTATTTACAATAAAATACTTACATCAATCAGTAGCCAAATTGTAACGCCAACATTTATTGTAGAAAACATACTTAATAACCGATCTGCTCAAGGTACACTTAAAATATGGATATTAATTACGTAAATAAAATATTATAAAATTGAGCATAGGCTTACAGGACTTATTTAAATTTCAGCTAAATATTATACAGGCGGACTGCCACCCCACATGGAAACACCGGTTTCCGTACGATCAGAGAAGATAAGCAACGTTGAGCCTGCTCAGTGCCAAGATGGGTAACAGCTTAGGAATACCAGCTGCTGTGTGCGGTTATTGTAATGGTTTGGTTTGTTGTGTTTTACGGCATATCAACCTCAATGGGTTATTTAATGCCGACAACTTTTTTTTGGTAATATTTTGTTTTGTCAAAAATCTATTTCTGGTCATATTTTTTTACTCAAATATGTATAGCTGGTAATATTATTTTAAAACATGTATTCCTGGTAATTTTTTTTTTCAAAAACGTATTTCTGGTAATATTTTTCCTCGAAAATATATTGCTGGTAATAGTTTTTTTTTTTAAATATATTGCCAGCAATAGTTTTTTTTTTTCAAAAATACATTGCAGGTAATATTTTTTCTTTCTTCAAAAAATTATTTCTGGCAATAATTTTTACAATGTATGTCAAACCTATTTTTACAATTTTATAATGCTTTTTAACTCAGTTTCAGTGTTAACTGTCTACCCATAGCAGTGACCCTAACAGGTGCTACCACCCCGGGTCAGGAATACCAGCAATTAACAGGTGGTCCCACGCTCCTCAAAATTTCCTGATCAGAGGCCTTGCTGTTGGACGTAGTCTATCGTCTTATCCAGTTCGCGGATGTAGTTTATCGTCATACCCCGGACGCGCATGTAGTCTCAGTTTCGGGGTTAACTATTTGTCCATAGCTGGGACCCTAACAGGTGCTACCACCCCGGGTCAGGGTTGACCTGGGAACACCAGCAATTAAGAGGTGGTTCCACGCTCCTCAAAACCTCCTGATCAAAAGCCTTGCTGTTGGACGTAGTTTATCGCCTTACCCAGGACACGGATGCAGTTTATCGTCATACCCAGGGCGGGGTTATTGTAATGGATAGTGTTTCGGATTTTTTTATTCGCAGCCACGAGTTCCAATTCCAGTGGGGTTCGATACGCGAAAATATTCTTGGGAAAGATATAAATCCGACTCTTTTCCCTCCAGCTATGGATTAATTAATAATATTGTATCTTTAAGTAATTATCCTCTCGTAAAAAAATTCTTACAACCTTAAATTGTTTTCTAGCTTTAAATACCTCGGAAAGGATTGAGATGGCGTAAAAAATCTATCAATTAGTACAAATAAATATTATGAAAATTTAAGAAAAAACGTTTGAAAATAAATCATTTTCAACTTTGAGATAATCAATATGTGAAAATACAGCAGGATTATTTATATTCTATTGCCTAAAAGTTGGTAGACGCTTCAAGTTTCAAACTAGAAGTATTAGTTTCATTGAATGATTTTCTGTATCCCCGGTCAATATCCTCCACCGTCTTTAATTGTCATATGATAATTATTTTACATTGTACTCATGAATTATACATATGACTGCAGTTTCTTCAATTTATCTCCGGAGAAAAAAAAAATCCTTCCTTTAAATTTGAACTTTTCCCATGGGAGCCAAGTGACTCCCAGTTGGTAATTATAAGTCTAACTGATAATAATGCATTATTTTTCAAAACCGACTTAAAATCAATACTCGCCTTTTTTCCGGTATCCACTTGTGCAAAGAGCAAGCAGCATGCGACTTTTCTCTTAATAACGATACTGCTAATATATCCTGTCCATCCGTCCGTGTGACTGAAATCTCTTTAATTCGGGCTATACTTGTCCTATATATAGACATGTTATTCCTTTTCACAATAAGGAGAATGAAGGGATTGAAAATCTGCCATTGGTGCTTGAACATCCAGAATTAGGATTTGTGTGCGGATGAGGAGGGAATAATTAACAATTCAAATTATTTTAAATAATTGAAAAATTAATGATTTTAAAAGTTTTTAATTATATTGAGTTTAAAGTACGACAAAAACTGTGTGAATTTATAAATGTTTGTTTCAAATTTAATTTAAAATATCTCCCAACCTTCATGAATTGACCAAAGCAATTTTATTTCTTGAAAATGCAGTTAAAGTGAGAAGTTTCGTGACGGGAGATTTTCAAGTTACATGGAATTTGTGATTTTCGACCTGAATGGGATTTTCGGCCTAAATAGGGATTTCAACCCAAATCGGTATTTTGGCCAAAATTTGACTTATAGCACAATTCAGAATTAAAGTGAGATTTTTAAGTTCCATGTAGTGAATTGAGGAATTCAAATTTATTTTTTCAACATTATCATAGGTGTTTTCTAAGCTGAACCAAAGTCCCTTTAGTTTTGGGCATGAGGCGCTACGCAGGAGCTCATAGGTTTTAAACTAGTAGATAAATAAATAAAAATAACTCAGTATTAATGAACATGATTTTGATGTGTATATTTGAACAATCTGGCTGATATGTAACTGATTGGAAATTTCTGTTCTTCAGGAAATTTACTTTGGATAATTGCTTATGCTTATTTTACCTTAATGGCTTGTATTGGTGCAAAAGACGATAATAAAAAGAGGAAAAGAACAACTTTGGTGTTATTGCAGAAAGTGAAAAATTTTAACAGAGTAGACGTTGGTGAAAATTCATTGTAACTAATAGGAAAGTCTAGATTGTATGATATAAAATCTTCCAAAGAAACTATTCTCCAGCGTTCATACTGTCACAATGAACAAAAAAAAACAAAAACAAAAAAAAAAAACAACAAAAAAAAAAACACGATTGTAATGAAACCTGAACTAAAATTGAAAAAGCTATTGAAAGGGTTGTCAGTTTTATGGAAAGAAAGCCAGCATTCAGTTAAAAAGTGTCTTTCGTTTATAAAATTTCAAGAACAAAAGCAAAACGAAATGCGGAAAAATTTGAGAATGACATGAGAAGAGAAATAATCATCATGCAACGGCGATTATAAAATCCTCCTAACATTATTTGTTTTGCATATGTGGCATATTTAATTTAATGAATTTTCATTAACATTGCGTAATTTATTTCTTTTTTCTTAAAATTAATTTCGTTATATTCCACTAACCATTAGCTTATTTTGTTTATTATAAAACATTGAAAATAAATGATAAACTTGATTTCAGGTCTTTTATTTTAATCTAAATATAACCCCTCATATCCGGACTTTGTCACGAATTCCTCATATCCGGAAGGCCTTCTTAGTCCGATTGTCAGGGATTCTACTCTAAGTAAATGCACATTTTAAAATTATTTAGAAACAATTTTCAGCAGAACATGATACACATGAAAACCTTTTCTGTTATTTCGTGGTTAGAAGAAAAGTCTTTCATTATTTTTCAATAGGAACTAAAAGTTCTTGAATTGTGTTTGAATTATGAAAGACTATTTCTTCTTATCTGGTCGGATGAGCCACCTTCCAATTCGGGTAGGCATCTATGTTCGTGTGTTGAGGGGACTACAGTCGTCGATGAAACCAGCTCGACATATTTATTTATACAATTTGATTTTAACGCTGTAATTGTGTAAGTTGCGCCCTGCAGAATTTTGGTAAAAAAGGCCGCCTGCTCTGATGAACCACGTTTCCTGCACTTTCGTGAGACTGTCGCATTCGTTCGTTGAGGGGAAGGCAGACATTTATGAAGTACGTTTTGAATTTGCCTTTTTCCACAAGTTGGTTTTAACGCCGTAATTGTGAATGTTTTTCCCTGCTGGATTTGAGAACAACAGAAAAGACCTTATAAAAGTAGCTTTTCCATTGAGGGCTTAGATATTCTTTCAAACCATATTTATCTCTTTATGCTCATTACGTTTCTACCAGATAATGAGTGCTTCCAGCAATGAAACCATTTCCTTCATCTGCGACTGACAGAAAACCAGTTAAAGTAAACACACAGACGACTTCCATATACTCTACATATTAATTAAATTTAAATCTCCTTGTGTATGCATTGGACATGTTGAAGAGCTCATTAAATTTCTTGCAGACATATCAAACAAGAATAAGTACGTATCAGTTGTAGACAGCTTTAGAATAGTTATGAATAGTTATACCGACACAAAGACTCAAAAACATGGCGGATTCTATGTCATATATTTTCATTGTCATTATCTGGTGGTTCAATTTAGTTTTAATAAGGTCAATATCAATAGAGTTCAGTCATATATTGTTCATATAGATGTATAACGTCTATGTGTCGGAATAAAATAAAGGTTTACAGAAACGTAAATATTTTTTATTTAGCCCGATAAGCCAGAGAAAAGACTGCCATGAAGAATTGCTTAGCGCAACAATCAGTAATATTAAAGGTGCTGTTTCGATCCTCGTTGGATGCCATAATCTGTGCCTTTGTGTCATATCAAGACAAGATTTAAGAAGTGAAATGTTCCTCAACACCTTCTCGGGCTGAATTTCAGGGATGAGGTGCTACCATTATTTTCACTCTTTATATTCGGGCTATTGTACTCATTTTGTTGTTGTTATCATAAACATTCGGTCATTGTGCAGTCCGGTCTTTCTCAGGTATATATTGATCTGGGTAACCTACAAGGAATTCTGAACTAAATCATTTATTTAATCACTGGGGATAGACGGTTATCTAGGGATATCGTCAGGTTCTCTAATTCAGTGGAATGGGAAAAACAGACATATAAATATGTCTGCTTTTCCGTTTCCCCTGAATCCAACTACACATGGCCCGAACCAAAGATTGAGCTCACATTCACTATGTAACCAAATTCACGAACCAACGCTTTAATTCCCTCGGCCATTATCGAAAAATCGTCTGTAGTAGTGACTTAAATCTGACATAGCTGCTGATTAATGCTGAAACTACTGCTGCTTCATATTTTTATTGCTGCTGCTGCTGCTGCTGTTGAACCTTTGCTGTCGGTTGTCTTTCTTTCTTTTTTAGCAGCATTTATTTCTATGCTAGGCCTCCTTAGTATGGTTTGCATAGAAATTAATTCCTGGGCCAAATCCTTACCAAGATCAATATATATCTGAAGAATGCCGGAGTGCACAATGGACGAAACGTTGTGATAACAACAACAGATGAGAACTGTAGTCCGAATATAAATAGTGTAAATAAAACTTTATTAGCGCATCTTTACTGAAATCAGATTTTCTCATGAAGAAAATACGATCAGGGATTTTAACTATAACATTGCAGGATTCTTTAGACTACGATTAGG